CATGAATACACTTCGCGGTTATTAAATATTGTTTACTGTTACTATAACTTTATAATCGTTGCTTAGGTAAATGTTAAAAAACTCCTTTTAACATATTTTTGTTAACATTTTATTAATAAAATATATAATAGTTACTTTATTATACATACAAACTAAACCGATTTATGGATAAATGTTTTATTCCCGTTTGACAATTATGAAATGAAGAACATAAAAATGAATTAGGAATTAAATAAAATAAATTCTATGAATATTTAGCTTTAATATTTAAAGTGAAGTTTATCACAACAACATTAATGGGAGGTATTATTTGATAATTGCATATATTGACAACAAAGCTCAATAATTAAGCATTTTATTATAATAATGTTATCTGCGAGCTACGCGGGGTATCTGCAACAATCGTTTTTTACATTACAAAAGAAATCATTTCATTTTAATGCGGTCCGAGGAGCAATGGAACTTCGATTGAATTACACGCCTATTAATACACATTTGATGGAGGCTGTTGACGCTGAACGCAGGGACAATGTTCGAGCATCATTACATTTCTGAGAACTATCTTAGCCAATAGACTGCCAAGAGAATCAACGAAATGTGTTAAAATATCTTACTAATATTATAAACTAGCTGTCGCCCGCGAGTCCATCCGCGCGGAATGAAATAAAACATTATTTGTAGCCTGTGTTCTTCCAGTTCCTCTGTGAGTGTTTGGATTGATGAAAAGATGGATAGATTTTTGTTAAAATATATCTCCACAACGGCTAAACGGATCTCTGTGAAATTTTATATAGATGTAGAACATAGTCTGAAAGAACACATAGGCTACTAATACTTTTTTCTTAATTCTTCGCAGACGGAGTCGCGGGTAACAGCTAGTATAGGAATAAAGTGACAAGCACGTAACACATTTAAAATCATTGTATAATAATTTTCCTAAATGTTTGCAATAAACGACATAGCTAATCGAATATAGCTTTTGGTAAACATTTTATTAAAAATTGTGATTTCAAAAGTCGATGACTCAAATATTAGGTCCATGACTTGTTTCATCAGTGCACTGACTTGTGAACCACGCGGCCGTCAAGGTTACGAAACGAGCACAATAATTGAATTTGGCTCGCAGGACATTACCGCTTTTTTATAAGGGATACCGAAGCGTTTAACGGTATATCTATTAGATTTTTTTGATTAGCCAATTTATTTTCTAGATTCGAAATTCTAAGTTAAAAATGTAAATAAGGAAAATGAAGTAAAATTCTGATAATATATAAACAAAATATGCAATTTTTTTTATAATAATAATAAATCGTAATAAATAGTGTCATAGACATATACGTCATTGTAAAAAACAAAAGACGTATATAAACACTGCTATAATAATGTTACTATTTTTATGTCAAAAAATCGAAATAAGTATGATTGCTTTAAATTGCATTCATTCCCTTTATATCGTTTTACGAACATGAAGTGTGCCTAAAAGTTATATAGTAAAATAAACAATTAAATATACACATAACTTATGTACATCATACGTTATACAGCATATTAATGTTGTACTCGTATATATACAACGTAATCTTTCATCAGTTACATTTTTATCCTCGTATATCAACCATAGTCATATCTTTATGTAAAAAATCTGGCGAATAAAGTTACATCTCTCAGATCTTAGATGTACGGTTCGTCAGCTGGGTCGATATGTCGACTGATTCGTATATCACGAAATCGTGTCTGGAAAAGGAATGGATAAAGGTAACTAGACATAATATCGCAAGTCGTAGTGGACAATCGTTACATCGAGATATGTTATTAGATATAACTGTACACGGGACGTGTAATGAGCCGGCAAATTTCAAATAAAATACGAGACATTACGGAATTGTAAGAAGTTTGTGGGTCGGCATCGCGCATCGCAGAGAGGGCACTGGGTCGGGGGAAAGTACTGGCGCTTTATCATCGCGCACGGTGCATGCCGCAATTACACATACTATACTGCGACCATTATATCGAAGGCCCATTTTAGAAATCGTTCGAAACGGTCAGCGTCATTCGTAAATTTGACCGTCGTTGTAAAGTTATAGCAATGTAAAGCAACGGTAAGTATCCTATCATACTAATCTTACTAATATTATAAATGCGAAAGTTTAGATATATAGATGTTTGTTATAAGCTATCTCCAAAACAGCTCAACGGTACTCTGTAAAACTTTTTTTTAGCTTTGGCTCTACATTTCAGATGTTCCTTTCGGGAAAAAAATCACATATCGTAAAACAAGAAGAAATGTCCTCAATTAAATTTTTTCTCCATCTAAATATGATGTCAATGAACTCTTGAAAGAGTATTTTTAGCCTTTTTAATTTATTTAAACATCTGGAATTACCGAAATATTTGAAAACAATGCCCAGTTTGATTAAATTTCGACAAATAAAATCCTTTAATTCCACGGACACATTTTACACGTTAAAAAAAAAGTTGTACAAATTGCACGTGCAAATGTACAGTTTTTTGCTGTAAAATAATCTGATTATTTTAAGAACTACCAGATTATGACTATAGCATTCTTGTGTCATGACGTGATCTAGGTCGCCAAGCTATGCTTGTCTCGCCTTTATAGCTTAACGGAGAAATTTACCCCGTACAAGGAACACGTGAAAGTTGTTGACAGTAAATTTTGTGTAAAAAATGATTTTAGTAAAAGCATATTGTATTCAAAAACATTTTAAAATGGAATGTTATTCTGTCCTTATAAATATAACATTGGATATTTTTTATTTATACTCTACTAGCTGGCGCCTGCGAGACTGTCCACGCAGAATTAAAAAAAAACTTAATGAATGGCCTATGTGTTCCTCCAGCCTATATTCTACATCTATGCCAAATTCCAGCGAGATCCATGCAGCCGTTCTGGAGATTTAATCAAAATCCGTTGAGCCATTCCGGAGATAACTTCAAACAAACATCCATCCATCCATCTAAACGTTCTCATTTATAATATTTGTAAGATTCTATTCATAAGTAGGTCGATCACTGAATTGGGCGTGTAAGTCTCCGGTCAAGGTCATGTGCACTTGTCGGCAAAAAACCTACCAACTGGTTATGCGCCCGCGCGTATGGTTATTATAGACAAGTTTTTTTTCTACAAGCACAAGTTACGACACACGATGCAATGCGCGCGGCCATTGATCGTGCTATTGTCTATGCCTGATTTTTAATTTATCTGTCAAACTGACATAACACGACTTGTTATAACATTACACGGTATATCATCGCAATATTGGATTGATATATTTATCATCGAGTTTATTAAGGTATTTAATATAACGGTTTATACATTTATCCACAAAAATGTTGTATAAATATATATAAGATTGTTTTATCATTCTCAAAGCTATTATAGCTTTTAAGAAACTATATTATGAAGCGTATCTTAAATCATGAGTATGGATATTTAAAAGTTCTCTTAAATCTTTTCTATATTTATTTTTTATTTAAAAACAATACGCAGTACTTCAATTTTAATATAATATATTACAAACCGATTTAAAATAGTAAATTGCTAGAATGCAGTTCATTATTTAATTCTAAATAACAAGTATCTTCACTAACAAGGTGCTCTTAGAACCTGTTTTAAGCTTGATTTAGTCTTGCCCTCACCCACCCCGGATCCTTTCCAACTTATGCCACTTTAATTAAATATAACTAAATACAACCATCCATGAGGTAAAACCCTGTACACCGAACCCACGTGAGTGGGATAAAGCCAAGATGATAATGAAAAACGATATCTTTGGAACCAAATTTTATTTAAAAAAAAAAACCGTGCTGCCATTACTACAACTACTAACTTAAACTTTCCTTTTTAAGCAACAAATGTATACTAAAAAAACATTTTGTCTCTGCTAACTTAGAACCCATCTTAGACGATGTATATATTCTAACCGCTATGCTCTAGGTTCAAAATTTCTGTAACGTTGTAATAATAGTCCTAGAAGTGACAAATATAAAATCATGTGAAATCCAGCTTAAAGCTTTAAATTTAACACAAGCTTTGCATTTATTAGTTCATGTTTATGTATGATATAAATCTATAGGTCATCGACCTACCGGATTTTAATTGTATTCAAATAACAATTAGATAAACACGAACTTTACTTCCCCTTCATCAGTTCATATAAAAACCAATGTTACGAATTTAATTTGAAAACGGAATTTAAAGACACGATTTTAAAGGCCACAAGCAATAAACAATAGCAACGAACAGTTGATATCTCACGCGAATGCATATAATGTTGGTAGACTATTCCCCTTGTAATTCCATAATAATGACGGCAATCATTTTACCATCTACGTAAACCGTACTTTTGCGTATTCGTGTAACGCGAATCGGGCGTAAAGTTATAGGACCGATTTTAATGTTAGTCTATCAAAATCCACCGCCTAAACTTGTATTAAAACATGTTTTTACGTGTCTTTCGAGACTGAAAGCTCTATACAACTATTAATACGGAGACTATATATTTTTTTTAATATTTAGTATCCATATGACCTTTGTATCGTTTAAGAATACAAACTCTAATTTCTTCACAAACTTAGGACCTCATTAATATTTTGCGACTCTTCCGACTCTTGTAATATGTAGTTCAAAATTACATTTACAATGTGATGGAAGTTTAGGTTGTTCCAAAATATTATTATATTATTCGAAGAGACTCGGCATCCTAAAGTCCCTAATGTTAAAATTTATTTCGTTAGAATATCGCAAAACGAAACAATCTATAAAATAGCCACAGTGACATCTAATAATTAATAGTGGCCAGAATCCCTAACTATGTATTCGATAAAAATTAAACATGACATCAGTAGGAGTACTTTAAAAATAAAACAGTTTATAAATTTCTTCTCCCCTATTTCCTGAAATTTCACTAAAATTTTATTTATATTGCAAAAAAGTATGATTTGGTAATTTCTTACTTTTTGCTTCAAAAAAAAATACTTACCCCGATTGTTTCAACTTGAAGTTCCAATGTTGACACGGTGAGCTGAGTTGTATGGTTGCACGCAACTAAACTGTCCCGCAATTGCACGGCACGAATGCGCGAGCACTGGACCCTAAAGAGAACCGACCGAGGTGGTGCGGACACCGCGTATACCGACACCGGGGCGCGTACTGACACCGACGCAGCCGACCAGGCGTCACAAACCAAATGAAATGGTGAAGAAGACGTCGCCCTCTTATATAGACGTGACCGTAACCTGACGCCGGATAACGGATTCCGGCCGGCGAGCCACACATCCGAATCTCAGTCTTAAAACCTACACAAAAAAGCCATTTTCCCATGCCTCTTTGGTTTCCTTCTCGATGCAGTAGAAAGATCGAATTTTCAATAAAGCGCCCCGAGCTGAAGACTGCAATTTGCCAGTAACACCAGCGAGAAGCCACGCCTAAACAAGAGGACAGCGCAACGGAACTCCAAATGGCATCTACGAACGCCATCGATATCGACCTAAAACGGTGGAGCTGCATTCCAGTTATAGAACCGCCCTCCGTAAATTACATTGCAATGAAAGCGACCAATTTTCACAACATTTACAGCTAAAGCTGTGATACCACGGATACTTGAAATAATTTGACTTGACTTCATTTCTTTTCCATGTATGATTACTAACAGATCTTTTACAAAATTTGAAAAAAACACACGTCGTTCACGGACATCATTTTTACCTACGCTACACCTATTGTGGATCTATGGTACATTTATATTACGATGATAAATATAAAATTTATTTTACTAATATTATAAACGCGAATATTTGGATGGATGGACGTTTGTTAGAAGATATCACCAGAACAGCTGCATGGATCTCGATGAAATTTGGCATTGATGTAGAACATAGGCTGAACGAACATATAGATTACTTACGAAGTTTCTTGAATACCGCGCAGACGGAGTCGCGTTCGACAGCTAGTAGTTTATTAAGTCTTTACTGTTAACAGATATTAGATGAACAGATATCATTAAAAGAAAAAGAATTTTATAATAAGGCAACGATAAAATTAATTAATTAATTCAAATATTACAAATTAGACATAACGTTAAAACTTTTAATGTTAACACGATTAATCAAACAACTAATGCAGTAACACACTGACCTCTAGTCGAGAAAGCCAAAATGACCGAAATCAAACTTTATGGTAAAAAAATAAGCAAAAAATGTACAATAAAAAGCTTCACTTCGAAATTATTTATAACTCAGATGTCACTGCTAATCTATGATAATGTTCATGTTGACTCAAAGATGCCAATATTTGTAATTTTTTGAAACTACGACCCGAAAATTTTAAAAAAGTCTCTTAGCTTTTAGACGGGGTTTATACACCAATTGTTTTCTGCAGGACTCTTTAAAACTAAATCGTACCTCGTATGTGCTGTGGTGATGATACTGGCAATGTCAAACGGTATAAAAACATTTTTATAAATAGAAGGAAACAAAATGCGTTATTTATGAAGAAATTATATTATAGAATAACTCTGTTCATTACATAACTATAAACGCGACTCACTGTACCCCAGTGACATGTCTACTATCACAGTGACTTACTGTACACTTAAAGGAAGAATACGAATCGAATAACCTCATTCCCCAAAGTTAGTTCAATCGTTAAGACTACAGACAGTAACAGAGAAAATCATACGCGATAAGATAAGAAAACTAAATAACAAAATTTCTTAATTACAAACCCAAAAAAAAAAACAAAAAGATAAAAAAACATTCATAACAAGTATAGTAATGTGAAACAAGAAAAGCCACTGCATAAACGAGAATTTAATTTTTTTTTTCATTTCCTGTGGTTTCCCAAAGGAGGATTTAAGGCCAACAATGATACAACAGTGAAAGTTAATGTTGTGATTCGCATTGCCTCTCATTATCGGCGCGATGAAAATCTTAAATTACATCGTGCACGGCAAATCTCAATCTATTTTTGTTTACTTTTTTGATCAGATTCAATTACTCGCTACCAAAATAATTGCAGTGTAGCGTGGGCGCCACAAGACTAATCTAAGATAACTTGTCTCTGCTATTGAATAGTACATAGTCAATGTTCTCAGAGCATACAAAAGAAAACACCTATTGAGGATTCAATAAGAGGACGTAAGAAATGTATTAAAAATATATAGTTCTTTCCAAAAATATGATAAAAATTTCAATCTAAAACTAAAACATGAGTTCGTTTTCGATCTTTAAAAAAAATCTATAATGTTTTTATTTATACATGAGCCAAAAATATTGGCTTGTATATAAGTAATTAAACTATTATCAAGTTTAAAAAATACTAGATGACTTTATCACTGAGTTTTTATTCCACATTTTTTACTACGAAAAATCGTACACAAAGTAATGAGAAATGAGCATCGTAACGATTATCCGCCCGTGGATCTGTACCGGATTCTTGGTATTCATATACGTCAGATGTAAACGCCTTTCTGGGTGCATACAAACTTACTGCAGCAATTTGTGGGCAATCTCCTACAGGTGCATATTGATCAAACGACTCGTAACCGTACTCTAAAATCTTAAACAGAATTTTATTTCATGACAGTAAGTTTATTTCCGATATTATAATTTTTACCTTCTTAAAATTTATATAAAATATTCAGCTTATTTCCAGGCTAATTCCCTCCCCTAAAACGTTAAAGACGAAATCATCTTCTAATGGTAAAGCAAGCTAGCTTTGATTTGATTATTTAAAAAAATCTAAGTAACTTTTAATAGTTAATTGAAAATGCAAATTCTTACAAAGTAGATCATTTACTGCAAAGTTGGTCGCTTTAATAAGAAACTACCGCGTCAACAAAGTTATTAGTAATTTACTCGCCCCTATTTCATTAGCAATGTAACATTGTCGCGGCCGTAAAACATATTTTTATCGAAAACAGTCATAGAAGACTGTCAGTTATTTGAATCAAAAATAGCAATATTTTACGCAAAAAAGATTTTGATGTGGGTTATTGTGTTAATTCATTACGCGACCGTCGCATTGCAGCGACTGTCCAAGTACCAGTTGTCCGGCGCATGACTCGCCATATCTATCTCTTATCTATTTCACTTCGTTTTCACACCTTTTATTTGGAGTTCTATAGTTAGGTGTTTTTGCGCGGACATAGTCGAATGCGTAAAAGATCTGGGTCATTCGTTCGAACATCGATATTACACTTTTACTCGTCGGAGAGATCGGCAATTATTCATTTTGCATTAGACCGTACTTGCGCTTGCCATAAATGCTCAGTCGAAAAAAAAATCATTGTATGTTGTAGCTTCACTCAATCAATATATGTGGTATAAAAAGTAGACTGACATCTCACCAAAACGATCCATTTACGTGATGGAATCTCCTTTGATTATAATAAAAGAAAGTTTTTATAAAACTAATCAAGAAACCATACTGGTAATTAAAGTAGATATTTAAAAATTTTATTAATGGTTAGCATAGAGTGGTAAAGTGAAACAAAATCATCGCCACTTTAATTTTAGATTTGTAGACATTCTCAGAGGGCCAAATTTGTCAAAAGAAGCTTACAATTTTGACGAGTGCCATGTAATATGATTTTTTTTATATAAAGCAGTTATGGTGACAAATACGTTACAAAGGCAATAGGGCGTCGTGCAGTGATTCCGTTGCGCGTGCGCAGCTTAATCGCCGCGTAACGGTGGCCCGGTGGCGAACTGTAAAGCCGCCACGGGCCGCGCTCCGCTAAATTTGCCGAAACACCGTCATCCGCATCTCTAGCGGGAACACTTAAATCACCTTAATTCGTGTCGATGCCCATCCATCAAAGCACTCAAATAATAACAACATCTATCGTTATTGTCCAACGATATATGCGTCGATTTTGTAAAAGTGCTCACCATTAAAATAATTTGCTTAGTTATTTGTCGTCTTTAAAATGGCAACATTTTCTTATGGTACATAAATTTAAAGATATGTGTGATGTCAACAAACTCGCACTAGGCTTGCTTGGTTGACCTAGTCACCCCTGACTTAGGGTAGACTACGAGCCCTTCAGTGGGAAGGTATTAGGTAAGGTCATTTTTAACAATGCAATTATAAACATAATGTAAATTCTTAAAATAAAATAAAAGTAACTATAATATATAAGAGGTGAGAAAGTATTAACCGTTAAGCATAAAATTATCTTCGCTATTACGTAGCAAGTAATAATCAAATATGTTTCAATAATGGAACTAAAAATTAACCTAGTTCTTGTCTGTTATTACATTTATTTAAAAAAAAAACTATTGTAGATTATACACATGTAGGATCATACATTAATTGAAATGTAAAACAAACAAGTGTTCATCTCTACATAGTATACTTTCATTGACTAATCTAGATTAGCGTTCTTACATTTCATGTTTAGTAGTAGTAATGTTGCTGATGGGTTAGTTCGATCATAACAAGCGATCACCCGCGACTTCGTCAGCGTAGGGTAGAGCGTAGAAATAAAAAATAAAGACCTGCCAAATCTCGTCAAAATCGATCCAGCAGTTTTGGAGATTACCCAGAACAAACGCGGTTTTGCGCACAGACATGTAGATAGACACAAATTTTAGCAACGCAAATACGTCATGTGTACGAAATGATTTGAATTTTATGATTTTTTTGATGTTACATACAGACAATCCAATTTTATTAATATTTATAAATAAAGTAAATCAATAAATTTTTCGGTTTTTTATACACAAAAAAATGATTGTGAACGTTATTAATTACAAGAGACATTGATATCAGAAAAGTATAATGCATTCTAGTATTCTCTAAATTAATTCAATAACATCTAAGCGGATTAAACATACATACATCAAGACATACTCTACATATTAGTAATTGCTGGCGTCTGACATCAATTATTACTGAGTACTTTCACACGAAGGCGTAGCAAGTCCATCAATCCATGTCTTTTAAGTTGTTAACTTTTAAACTAATCCATTTATAATTCTGTTAGACCCGCCCTCATTTAGCACTTTAAAACTTCTCTAATCATCTATTTCAAGTATATTCCTTTTATAAAATAACCAACAACAAAAGTTTGCAAGTAAACTGAAGTTTGAAGGAAATAACGCCTTTATCATTTATTATTTAAAAATAAAAAGAGTATTTAACAACATCAATACAAAGGTTTGCTTAGTTCTCTTTTCTATCTTTAATGTAATGTATGTTGTTTATAAAATGGCGGACTTTAATAAAGAGAGGGCCAAGAATGAAATTGCCGAATCTTTATCTCTGAGTACATTTTGTATGCAGCGAATTGGTTTTTCATTTAATAGGACGAATCGTTTCGTGTCCTATTATACCCAGAAACTTATGTTTATATTATCTGTGTGTGGTATATGTTACCACGTGTTTAGTGAAATGGTATTCATTGGGTTGACTTTATGGAACTCTCCTCGAGTGGAAAATGTTGTACCTTTGTTACATACATTTGGCTATGGAGCATTAAGTAAGAAAGATTGAAATACTTTAGTCGAACAAGGCTTAATATCAAAACAACTGTTGCTGTTAAAAAGTAAAATTGACCGACTTCTATAAATATTCCCTAGAGAGGTCGCAGCTTAGCAATGATAGCTTGTTGCTTCGTTGTTGAAGTTACTATCGGCTTATACTCTAGTTCTATCTCTATTATTCGTTCGAGTATCCAACACCACTACCGTCAACGCCAAAATGGCAAAAACCAAATAAGCACAAAATAGCACGAATTATAATCCTGTCCAGTGGAATATAGTAGCTAGTAGGACTGCTGCGATATTCTCTTGTTCCGTTGTTCTCTTGTTTTCCGAACTATAAATGAAACTTTTTAACTTTTTCATTTCAGGTATTACTAAAGTATTTGTACTGTGGTACAAAAAGGATGTTTTTGGTCAACTATTGAATGAATTGGCCGACATCTGGCCGATGTCACCCCTTGAGGAAGATGCACAGAATATTAAAAATAAAAGTCTATCGGCTCTACGAATAGCACATCAGTGTAAGCTTTTGATAAACACTAAGATAATCAATATTTTAAATTAAAAAAAAATGGAAATTCTCTTGCTGGAATATGTTATTGAAACATGCGAATGGGGTAGTAGTTGAGAACCTAGTATTCAAGTTTGCAGTAACTTCAGTTATCCACGTCCAAATAACCAAAGCATATTTCAACTGAACAAATTGCTTGATTTGAAATACAGCATAAATTGTTTGAGATTTTTCAATGCTTATTATTGAATTACAGGGTATTTCTGGTTGAATGTATCTGGCGTATGGTTCTACAACCTAACGCCGATCGGAGTATACTTCTTTCGTATATGGCGGGGTCAACATGCGGAAATTGGTTTCGTCTGGATGTCATGGTATCCTTTCGATAAACAACAACCAATCGCCCACATTGCGGTATACATATTTGAAATGTTCGCTGGTATGTCTCGTGGTATTTTAATTCTTTTTACATAAGGCTAATTAAATATTATTATTAACTGACTGACTCAGGACTGTAGTTAGTCACGCGTTACCCAACTGACTTAGAAGGATTTGTATATGTTAGTTTCACAGATTTTAAAGGATGCGATAAATTAGATTTCCCCTAAGTGTCAATCCTAGGAGTGCTGTCAGTAGGATTTAAGGTGTATTAATAAACAGTTATAATTAGTTTTTGTCACCGCAATGTAAAATGGTAGGTATTTATCTCGAGGAAGGAAACATAATTGTCGCTTGATACAAGATCTTTGGTCCATCAAGCGGCAAAGATATAGATGAAATATTTTGAATCAAGTATATAAAATTATTATATTTATATCTATTGATTCACTTCGCTATTATGACGGTGATTATGTTTTATTTATATAATGTTTTATTCACGTAAAAGAATTATCTTCTTTAATCATATTAATAATCATTGTTACTAACAGATGTATAATTGAATAGATTACATCCGATCTAAATTCGTATAAAAGAATAAAAACAATATCATACATTGTCGGCTTCCGACAATTATCCGTTATCTTTATCAAAGAAATGCAAAGATGTGAAAGTATGCTTCGTTAATAGGGATGTTGCGTATTTTTATTTTTTTGAAACTATGTCTCCTATCCGACCACTTAGAGCAAAGGGCTTAGTAAAAAATGCGCAGCAATTAAATGAATTTATTCTTAACACTATATTAAAAGTTCTTTCTACTATTTACAGATATTTTGTGTATAAACTTAAAAAAAAATATAGCCTAAGTTAAAATCGCAAACATCTTGATTCTACAGAAATAAGAAAAACATAGTTTCTTTGTGTTGCCATTTTACATACATTTCAACTTTTGTAGCATTTACGTAATCATAAACGATTAGAAGCCATTTAAGTTTTATTAGCGCACACCTTACTATTACGATGTCTGCGGGAGAAAATTTATAATAAAAGATTACTAGCCTGTATGTCACCGACTGATTGTAAATTTCGTCAATTTACATTCTGACTAGATTGATAGTGAATTAGGAACTTAACGTGTCATTTACAATTGAGATATAATGTTAATATTGTTTTCCTAGAGATATATATTTTCACAATTGATAACTAATAATCATATTCTCTCATAATCATCGTTGACGATATAACTACAAATTTAGTTCACAAAATGATAATGTCACTTTGATAATTTATTAAATGGAGAAAAATTAACAAGATACATTGTTAATCATTACTTTAGCTCAAAATTAGCAAATAAACATTTAATAATAAAATATATAGTATAATTTCAAATTAACGAAGTTCACAATGTGTAGGTAACATTGGCAATAAAATAAAACACACATACTAATAATGATTGTAGGTCAAACCTGTGTATGGATAATGATCTGCACAGACCTGTTGTTCTCTGGAATGGCGAGTCACATAGGAATGTTACTCCGTCTATTGCAGCGTCGTTTGGAGACACTGGCCATCGTCTGCAGAACAGACGATGAATACTACAAGGAAATTCTATCTAATATAAAGCTACATCAGCAATTAATAAGGCAAATATTCTTTTAAAATCATTATTTTCAAAATACTTAAGAACTTTCTGTCTAATAGTCTTTTTTCTTTTATATTTTAGTTTTAATTTTGAATAGACTTTATGTTAAAAACTTAATTTTATTAAAAGTCAAAAAAATCGCTCCCATAAAAATGTAATGTAATAGACATCAACGACTTTATCTTAAATGCAAACGTATGAATGTTTGTTATCGGTAACTCTAAAACGGCTGAACGAATTAAAATTAAAACACAAATAGGTTAGGGCATAGACTAAATTATTTTTTTTATCATTCGCGGACAGAGTCGCATTTGACATCTTAATTGTTTCCTATAAAATATGTCCATTCGTAACTTTTATTTGTCACATCAGTGACAATTCCTATGACCTAAAGAATTCTAAGTTTATTTGTTAACACCGTTAGTTCTCTTATTAATGGGTGATAACATTTAGAGAGTACGTGTTAACAAATTTTGTAACAACCATACTGGTTCGCAAGCAATTTAGTGTAAATAAAGTTAGCTTCGTCAGTTTTACATTTGAAAAATATTTTCAGATACTGCAACAATTTAGAAGAAGCATTCTCTGTCGTCAATCTGATAAACATCGTTCTTAGTTCTATTAACATCTGTTGCGTGGTTTTTGTCATTGTGGTAAGTCAATTAAAACTAACATAAAAAAAATGTTAACGGAGATATTTGCATTTTTTTCATTAACGGACATATCTGCGAAGAAATTCTTAAGAATTGTGTGAATGCAAGGTTTTTTAATGCTGGACCAATGCAACCTGCATAGTTAGCACTAACTTTGGATAGGTTCCATGTTCCTTTGTAGGACTAATAGTGAGCTGGTGATTAGTAAAATTTTGAAAGTATACTTGTAAGAAGTCGGTATGGTTAGAAAAAAGTATGTAGTAGTTATAATTAGGACGCTCACTATAATTTCGATATTCTACTTGAAACAAGTGTAAATATTTTGTTTCATTCTAATAATGGTATAAACCTTTTTACAGTTGTTGGAGCCGTTTATGGCTGTAAGCAATAAATTATTTTTAGGTTCGGCTTTAATTCAAATAGGTGTATTATGTTGGTACGCCGACGATATTTATCATGCGGTAAGTATAAAAAATTTATGTTTTTATCGCTTTATGAATGTAAATTCCATTGTGACCGCCTATAGTCTAAATGAAAGAGTCCAGGGAAAAAATATATAGCCATATACATACGTCGATTTCAAAAGCAACGTTACTAATATTATAAATGTAATTGTTTAGATAGATGAATGGACGTATGAACGGATGTTTGTTTGAACATATCACGAGAACGGCTGCACGGATGACGATCAAATTTGGCACAGACTACTAATTAAGTTTTTTTTAATAACGCGCGGGCGGTGTCGCGGACGGCAGCTAGTTTCGTTATAGTTTTATCTATACTTGTAAATTTTCAGAATGCAAAAGTCGCGTCATCCGCTTATAATAGTTTCTGGTATAAAACCAGCCCACGTTGCCGCCGCACCCTGCTTTTTCTTATAAAGAGGTCAGTATTACCTAAAATTACCTTCTTTTAAAACTTCAGATAATGACTAGTAATAAAATTTGGTATTAGAAATTTGTAAAGCGATATCCACTCCTGTTGTACTATTACGAACAACTTAAAACAAGTTACTATTATTATAAATGGGATAGTTTGAATATATGGATGTTAGTTGGAAAATTCTTCAGAACGGCTTAGTACATATGGGTATTTCGTAGAGATATACAACATTGTCTGGAAGAACACATAGACTCCATACTGTTTTTTTTAACATCGCGAGGATCTATAAAGCTAGTACTCTATAAATAGTGGACTCTGGTTTGTTCCTGACTGATATTATTAGTCTGTTGCAGGTCACAAAAGCCGATAGCTTTTACTGCGATGAAATTCACAAACATCTCGCTGGTGACATACTCAGCGGTAATTAAACAAATTAATTTCGTAATAAACCTAAAGATTTATAATTTTATTATAAAATAAATTAAGCTAAATCTTTTTGTTGCAGATTCTAACAAGATCATATTCGTACTTCGCGCTTCTTTACACAATGTATAGAGATAATTAAAAAATAATTTATATTTCAATTCACGCAAATATTATAAATACCTATGCGAAATATTTAGAATTCTTAACGAACTTATGACAACTTTAGATCAAATATTTAATGTTTCTTACTCATTGTATTTTTTGTGGTATTAAAAGTTTTAACAAGTAGTATAAGTATTTTTTTATTATTTTGGACTGATAAATAAAAAAGTGTTGTCATAAATACTCTACTATTAACATTTATACATAACAATATAAATTTTGGCCCATTTCTTGTATTCTTTATCGATACTTTTATTTAATTCCACGGATATGCTTTCTGGCACAAAGACAGTCGGTGGTCCGCTGGAACTACACTTGAATAAATAGTTACAAAAAAAAACAGACACTGAGAATAGTCGCTTTGTAGAGCCGTCTATGTTGCATTTCTTTTTTACTTGTCGCACTTCAACGGAAGTGGAAATGATATTAATGATAGGTGATGAATGATGAATCTTAAAACAATCGCTTTAGATCGTCTTTTAACAAGTACTTTAATTAATATAATTTAGTAAATTAATATAAAAACAAATTAAGTCACAACATAAATATGTAGTCTAAACCAAAACAAAACTAAAATGTAAACTAATTTCAGAATTTTAATTTTAAATCACAATTTAGGCTACATCAAAAAGTTAATTTTTACATTAAGAAAGGTCCACTTACATGAAAACATTATCATGTATTTACATGAGTGCTCAATAAAACTCTACTTAAACTGTTTATTCTGATTAAACATAAAACAAAACAGACAAATACACCACGAAACATGAATAAAACTGGACAACACAATCTCTTAACACATGGAAAAACAAAAGACGGTTTTATTCGATACATTTTACTTATAATATTTCACGTTGCCAATATGTGCCAGGTCTTATGAACTCCTCTAGTGGCGCCATCTATCAAAAACTAAACTGAGCTAAAAGAAAAAGTAAAAAAAGGCGCCGGCGACGTTACTATAAGAGACCAAATGTAAGACATTTCAATAAGAATGTCAACATTAAACTCGACTTAAGGTTTTGCTATCAAAATATACCATCTATTCCATCTTCCGACATACTTAGTGCAGTGTACTTGAGAATAATTCTCATATGCAGTAAGTCGCATAGCGTTCACCAAAGTAGCGGAACGAAGATCGCTAGAGATAAACATGAAGGTTTAGTCTGAGTACGCGCTCTGCACAAAAGCCTTGTTTACAAAGCATTTTCTAAAACCTATAATAGTAATAAAGTAGGTTGTATTTATAGAGAAAATCCAGTTACCAGATGAATGTGCACAGCGTCGGCTCTAAACCTAAAACACAGAGTGTGATTGTCTGCCAAATCTATAACTGTGGGTTTCTAAGACCAAAATTCTCGTTTAAATTATTATCTCTGTTACTCAAAGACATTATAGATATTACTTACCGAAACATACTCAAAGATAATCAACAGAATTAATATCACAATTTTATTTTCACATGGTGGGCTACAGAAAGCGTAGACACACTTTAAAAAAGAGGCCAAGTCATGATAGTGAAACGTAACTTCGGTTCGTAATTGAGGATAGATGTATTAACATCGTGTGAACTGTGCACACGATTACAACTTACATAAAAAGAAATCAATTACAACTTCGTCTACGACCAACATCTACTCATCGGGAGATAATGAAAACAGAAAACTTTGTCCGTCATGTCCGGAAGAATTATTCGTCTTCAATCTAAATGTAATGAATCTGGTATATCTTACTAACATTATAAATGTTTAGATGGATGGATAGATGTTTGTTACAATACAAGGTACCTCCAGAACGGCTGCATTGAGCTCGCTGAAATTTGGCATAGATGTAGACCATAGTCTGGAAGAAGACATAGCCTACTAATTTAATATTTGATTCCGGTAGAACGGAGTCGCGGGCGATAGCTAGTGATTACATATTCAGTGTGCTTCGTCGGACTAGCTTTATAATCAAGATAAAGGCGGACAAAACCACACTAAGTCAAAAGTCAGACGAAGGACGTGCCTTTACATTTACTACGACCAAAGGTCATCATGATGGTCGCATTAAATCACAGCCCGGTGATTCTTGGCCGGTGGTAAGAATCATAAAATAATACTAACGTTGACTATTTCTTAGTATTATCATTTCATGTACGGAGAATTATTTTTTATTACATTCACTGGCGCACTCAGGGTCTTCAATTGTTCAATAAAGTCCCTTAGTATATATTTGTTTTATTAAATCTACCCAAAGGTTGACTTAATTTAAGTGGTTTTGCATAAATATGAAGTATATCTCCGTCTGCAACTCCTTCTGTATGAACGTTTATTGCATTAAAAACGATTGAATCTCTTTATTTCTTTATTAAGACAGGCCAACAGCATAAATATAAAAAAGCAGAAAAACAAAAATCACACAAACATTGTATATATGTATGCCAATTACAGGCATGCACAAATTTCGTTAGACGCATTTTTATTTATACAATTTTATACACTTCATTTTTATAATTTGGATAGTTTATTTTTAAAAGATCCCAAGCTATCACTAAATATATCTATGTTAATCATAAAGTTGTTAATCATGTTATATTCGTTACATATACGCAACAATGGGTTATTGCGGCCAAGATTAGTCCTGGCAAATTTAGTGTGAAATATATTTTTTATGGGATTTCTAGGGCTTACTCTGGGGACAGATATAGAAATTTGTTTAGTGATATCGCTGCAGCTGATAAAATTATGTATCACTTTATATAAGAGTGTGGGGTCACTCATCTTACGGCGACTTTGCAAGGATTTCATCTTGAAATGAAGTAACCTCGCATCATAGGTGCTGCGAGGCGAGATTCCGTGGCAGGTGAACGCCAGTTGTCTTGTAAATGTCCGTTGAATGCTTTCGATGCGCTGTGAGTGGGTACAGTATAAGGGATTCCACACGACATTCTTTATAATTCTTAGTATGGAAAAGGATCCGATCATCCGAAAGGATCGGATGAATCGACGCTATTTTACCGAATTTCAGTTGGCCGCTAGCTCGTTTGTAACCTTTTACTTAAAAATAAATTAATAATAAAAACATGAATATATTTGACCAATATTATCAATACAACCGTAATAACTAGTAAGTAGAATGAATATTGTAAAGGCATTCTAACTAATTTATCTAAGCGCGGAAGAAGTAGCCAGATAACAGACCCCGTTAAGCCGCTAGGCAATGTCATCGATAAATGTTGTCTAGTCTAGCCTAGATATAAGATCCAGATTTGCAAATAATTATCAAGCTATACCTCAACGACAGTCTACGTGATTTTAACGTTCTCAGACTCACCGTTTATTATACCGTTCGGTAACATTTTATAGGCCGCAGGCAAAAAAAAATGGTAAAAATAAAACAATTGTAATATAAAATGTGTTTTATTTGAGATAATATATTTCGTACCTATGTTTGCTTTAGAAGTGGATTTTAAAACTTATAATTACAGTAATCGTACTACGATTACAATAATTAAAATAATATATTTTGTATATCACGTGATGACAAATATTAAGACTAATTTAATGACGCATTATAATCTGTTCCGAGCACAAGTTGGCAGCAGGAGAATAAATACCTCTGACCTCTATACTGGACAGGCTATAGCCCGTGTTATTTTGTGCCATTTTGGCGCTGACGATAATGGTGTTGGGAATTCGAAGTAATATTAGAGATATAATCAGTAACTTCAACTAGCACTTTCAGAACTGAATAAAGCAAAAGCTATCCAGCGTATATTTATAGAGGTCAGTGATAAAAGTGGAGTTATGGCTCCGCTTACTCTTTAAACATTCGCGGACCATTTATATGATCCAATCACATTCTCACATGAAATTTGCCCGCTTTCGTGATATATTTGACGCCTTTGAATGGCTTGTATTTAGCTCCATACATATCGAGTCGGCTGACTCTGAGTCCACTCACAGCCAATTGAGGAATTGTGAAATGCACATTTATGCTTGGATTTGCACCAGAAGTATCGGCCCCAGCTGCTACAGATACCTGAATAATTATAGTAGAATAATGAATAAACGTAAGTTAATCTTAAAAATTATAAAATTTAAAAAAAATATTTTGAGATTAAAGACAACGCCATCTATTTTACATGAAAAACATTCTATATATTTTGTAATTTTTAAACAACAAAGCTAAAGATTATACTAAAATACCAGGACTACAAAAGTACTGGTGTAAAATAATCGTATTTGCTTTCATAAAAAAAGGAAAAAATGTCCTGTCCTTTCATCGTCATCCATATCAATACTATTAATACATCTACTTAACCCAATTTTAATTTGCATTAAAAATAAATTCAAATCCCATGAATACTTACAGATCCCCTGATATTAGGTAGTTTGGGAAGTTCAATTTTTCCTATATCCCATAAAAGAACTTTACTGACTGGATCATATGAGTATTTTCCTTGATTCGCTGTCAAAGAACAATTCAACACGCATTTAGGCATACAAATCTCCAACGCTACATCTGAAAAAAAAAGTAAACATTAAAAACAAAATCCATCAACCCTATATTCTAACAGTGGTAGAGCCAGCAACATTTGTTGTGGCATGCAGCAGAGTAAGGGATGCATAGGAAGAGGAAATATCCTCTTTGTGTCCCTCCTCTGTGCATTAAAGGTAAACAACGTATCAACAATTGCAGATGTCTATTAGCAGCGGTAGCTTCGCTATTTTGGCGAATTTAAGTGGCCACTTACTTGTTTACAACCTTGTGATAATAAAAATACTCAAAACTATAGATTAAAAATGTAACGGAGATATTTATTTCTCACGAGTCAGTTGTATATGCTTACTTTCTAATGTCCGTCCCATTGTTTGCTTTGGTCCAACGGTCAAGTCTAGTCTGCCTTGATCTCCGTTTGAACGTAAAGTAAGATTATGCCGCACGTAAATAGGAATGGCTACGACACTTTGTGATCCTATATGGTAGGACATCAATCTAAAGTTGCCATCAGGTGGTATAAAGGACAATATTCTTTCCGACTGGAAAAAATAGCAAAATTAAGAAGTTTAAACAATTTTTTTTTATAATTAAGCAATAACTTTTATATTTTCTGGAATAATTATTATGTCTCCTGGAATGAATCAAGTTTTTTCTACAATTATATTATGTTACAAGCAGTTTCAATGAACATAGTTTAACTTACCTCCCATCTCTTGAACCTCACACATGGATGGAATGAAACATCATCAAATAACCTTGGATTGACAAATGTTAAGGTCAAATCTGGCATACCACTTAATTTGATGCAGCAGTCAATCTTGAAATCAATAACATATTATTTAAGACAGAAATTTTGTTTGTTTAATATGGAAGATTACTCTATACTGTTTAAAAAGATTTAATCTCCTAAATAAAGCTACAAGGACATATTATTAAAAACAAATCAAATACTTTGTCTGCTTGGAACAACGTACAGAACACAGCATGAGGTGAATCAGTTGACATAAAGAGATGTGGGGGTTGGCGTTGTAGAAAATAGCCTATACTTATCAATTATGCAAACCATTACATGATTTATACATTGAGACATTATTAGTTAGAATCTCCTGGGGCGAATGGCACGCCTTTGTTGCGAAGTCAAGTGTCAGAATGATTAGAGAGGGGATATAAACATCGACAATTTAGTAAGGCTAGAGTTGCGCCAGTACACAGACAGTGTCAGATTTTCTTCCCAACAATACTCACATATCCTTGTATTTCAGCTGAAACTGTTACACCACTTTTATCTATAATTGCATCTACTTCTTCAACGACATCAAAGTATGCTTCGTTATTTGCATATTTCACACCAGAACGACGCCAAGGCACATTTGATAGCTGACCGGATGGCAATATGGATGACACACTGCAATATTTTAAAAATTTAAAATGTCATTGCACACAGGTGCATATAATCTTTATCACTATTGTTCAGACATAAAGCTTAATTTATTCGAAAATTAACTACAATCGGAAAAGTTTGCGATCAAGTTTGCGAAAGTATTAATATTTTTTCTTAATTTAGAAATAATATCTTTAATATGATCAAAATACATTTTAAAAATATATTTCAACTTTTGATAGTGATTGCAAACTTTTTGATTGTGTTTATATATTATTCAAGAACCATAAAATAAATTGTTTTTGCAAATTTATGATGACTGACATTAATAAATTTTGAAGAGCTACAATAAGTGCAGACAAGCTACATACATTTTATGTCTTAAAAATGTTGCTTATAGTTCTAATCTTGTAACACACATTAGAAACTTACTTTGATTTTCCAGTAACTGTGTTAGCTATAGTTCTTAAAATATTTGGTGGTTTAATCAATTCTTTGAGAATATTGCTCTCAGTAGCCAATGGAAAACCATTATCTAACATTTCATCCAATAGCTAAAAAAAATCCATTAAAACAAATATTTTAATAAAACTCACAAAACGTAAATACAAACTTATTACCTCATAAACCACAACATAGTTTTCTTTTATAATTGTCTCTGTACAATCCGAAAAGTAATCCTGAAAGAGAAAAAGATGAAAAATCAACAGGATGTATTTTTTTACACTTCTAACTTGTTGTGGTAGTTGTATCAATAGTTTTTTTTTTATTATAATGGATAAGATAATGACCAAACAATTATTGGTGGCCAAATACAAGTGTTGCCTATAAACACACTCAAACATCTTTACATAGTTGCCTAATAAGTTGTCTTCCCATGCCAGCCCCTTCTCATAACAGTTTACCATGTTGTTGACACCATTGTTTAGGGAAGACTCAATCAATAACATGTATAATCCAAATGCATGATTGCAAATTTAATTATAACAAAACTTGTTTGCATTAATGTCTAAATACCTGGAAAGTATCAACAACTCTATGTAGAAACTCTATAACAAACAGAGGGGCCACTTCCTGCTTGCTGACTGCAACAAGTGCTACGCCGCCTCTTTGTATGGATATTAAATAGTGATGAGGTGCAGCTAAAACTGGAGGTACATCCTAAAAGAGACATATTATAAATTGTGAGTGTCTTGAAATGAGGATTTAAACTTTCTTTAAGGGTATTCTGTTTTAAAATTGTAACATACATTAGGAGAAGCTCGCTGAGCTTCTAAATAATAGTCACAGACTGATCTTGGTATAACACTTCGCCAGTGTTTCTCAAGAAAAACATCCCTGAAATAAATAATTTAATAAATACGATTTCGTTTACATTTTTTCAATAATTTTTAATCTCAGTCCCTGAGATGAGAATGGTGTTAATAAATATGTAAATAAATAAGACGACGTGTCCAATCATTTACCCAGATGGATTTATTATAAACAAGCTGTGTATCATTTTGCAGCCGCTAGATTTCAAATATTCTTAATTTCCAAATACGTGCTGTGTACTTAGAACGAAAATATCTAATAACATAATATACAGAATATTATCCTATAAAGTCCAACAAGAATCTTTTCATAAAGCAGTTATATTGACATTGACAAGTTTCCACTTGAAAAGTAATGGGGTCGCCTACCAATTTTAGGGTTACCAGCAAGCAAAAATTTCAATTCCTGCCGAAATCTTTCCCTAATGAATACAAAATTCAAGAAATAAAAACTAAGTTAGAAGCGACTTGTAAACAACTTTTACCACAGCTGGTAAATTTTAGGATTTGCCGAAGTTCGTGGTTTTACGGTAACATATAATATAGTAGTATTATTTCATCATAACCCATCTGAAGAGAATTATGCATAATGTCCATTCTGGTGAACCATTACACTGTGTACATGCTTACTTGATTTTCATGTGGCATACCAGTATTTATAGTAGTTGAAACGAAAATAACTAAATGTTATACTAGCATTCACATGATAGTAGCTTTGAATCCAACACTATCATGAATCTTTGCAAATATACTAACTGTCGTTGTTAATTAAATTAAAAGAAAACCGAGTTGCTTATGCAGTATTCCAAACAGTTATGTCTGTCCCAAATTTCATTCATTTCCATTTTTCTATTGTGGTGTATATTATAATGTTATGGACACATTTTGCATTTATATTATTTTCATAATCTAAATCATTAATTCAGTAGCAATATTATGATTCACAATATATAATTGTAATTATGTTTCTTAAAAGTGCATTATCTCATATAAAATGCAATTTTTGTATTATCAAATATTTGTAATATAATGGATTTGTTATTAAAATTAAAGAGGAATACTAAATTTACTGATGTTTAATATGAATACTATTTATCAACGGTGAACAATTATGTTCTATTGAAAGTTTTTTTATTGTAACTGAAACATTTAGTATGAATTAGTTCATCGTTATAAAAAACGTTTTTAAAAACAAATTTGTAGATTATTTTAATACTGATAGAAAAAGAATAAATTAAAAACCAAGTATGTTTTAAAATTTTATTGACCAATTCTTATGAAACTTAACGGTTGGATTTAGCAACACGCTCCAACTCATCCTTCTTCTTGATGGCATAAGAGTTTGATGAACCCTTTGCAGCATTGATAAGTTCATCAGCAACACACTCGGCAATAGTTTTAATATTTCTGAATGCAGCTTCACGCGCTCCTGTGCACAGCAACCAGATAGCCTGGTTTACACGACGGAGGGGAGAAACGTCGACAGCTTGACGACGGACGGTACCAGCGCGACCAATCCTAGTGGAATCTTCACGAGGTCCTGAGTTAATAATAGCGGTAACCAGTACCTGCAGGGGATTCTCTCCAGTCAAAAGGTGGATAATTTCAAAAGCGTGCTTTACTATACGAACTGCCATTAATTTCTTGCCATTGTTACGGCCGTGCATCATCAGAGAGTTTGTAAGACGCTCTACAATCGGGCATTGAGCTTTACGGAATCGCTTGTGCGCATACCTGCCAGCCGAGTGAGGCAAAAATTTTGCGTACTTTTCTTTGACAGATATGTAATCTTGGAGAGACATATCGGAAACCTGAACATCGTAGCAGCTCCATCTTCCGAAAAGTTTGATTTCGGGAATGTCAGCCGGCTGGGGCAGTGGCATGCTTTCCACAGCCATGCTGCCAACGTCCATGCTATCGTCGTTCCAGTTTTCTTCGGTCATATTTAGCGCCTAAAACAATAACAATTACTTTTTATACAATGTTTACTAATTTTTATTGATATACACAACTAATTTCAGTGAATTTAAACCTACTTTTTGGCTAAACAGAAATTATAACCTCGTGTTGTCAAAAGTACACGGGAAAAAGGAAGTAGTTCGCATTACGAAGACATAGGGTAATTTTCGTTGGCAACACCTTTTAATGTTACCATTCTTAACCTTGATGCACCCTTATGGAAAACAAAAAGTTTCCAAACTGTAATTTAAGACATTATACAAAATGCTTTAAATTAGAATGATTAAACATAATAGTATTAAATAAGAATGCTATATCGGTATCAATTTAATGCTGCCCAACAATGATAATTTCTAAAATAACATTTGTTACTGTCAATTATAGACAAACAAAATTAAAAACGAGTTTTAAATTGATACACCTAGTACGGTGCCCAAGTTTTAAAACACTAGAAATTATGTTTCATTTGTTATTCCTAGCATTGCCTTAGCTTAGCGTTTAGCATGTACCCGACGCTGATGTAAAGTATATATTAAACGCTACGATCAAACGTTAAAAAATAGCAACCCTAAAAACATCCTGGTATTCTTTGCTCTTTGGAAACTTGTCTTGAGTCATTGTGATTGGTGATTAAGTCTTGTTATCATATCAATTTATCAACATAGTCTTGCGCTTATCAGACTTTTAGGTATAATAAGTTTTAACATTCAAGTTTTTGAACTAAGCTATCTTGCTATATATATTTTTTTTATCAATCGTTTGTAATTTCTCTTATCTCATATAAAAACTTACAAATAAAGGCAATTACATAAGTTTTGTTTTATCGATGAATTATAGGTTAGTTGGTTTTTAAATTTAAAGTAGTGAACAAAGTTCAATATAATGGCAGCTCTAAATAAAACAAGAAATTTGTCAATCTTAAATGTTTTGTCTTATAAAATCAAGTATTGTCCGCGAGTGAACGTTAAGAGAAATCTAAATCTTCAAGAATATCACAGTAAAGACTTATTGAGAAAACATCAGGTTTCTATTCAGAATTTTCGACTTCTCGACTCTAAATTGGATTCGAAGATCTTATCGGACTTTAACGCTAAAGAATATGTGGTGAAAGCACAAATTTTAGCTGGTGGGAGAGGAAAAGGTCATTTTGATAATGGTTTTAAGGGTGGAGTCCATTTGACTAAGAATCCATCAGAAATATTACCCTTAGCAAAAAATATGATTGGCCACAAACTAATCACCAAACAAACCCCAAAAGAGGGTATATTAGTTGATAAGGTAATGGTAGCCGAAAGTGTTAATATTATAAGAGAAACATATCTTAGTATTATTATGGAAAGGACTTATAATGGTGCTGCACTGGTAGCATCACCTGCTGGAGGCATGGATATTGAAGCTGTAGCAGAAAAAACTCCTCACTTGTTAAAAACTGTCCCTATAGATATTTATGAAGGAGTTACTGACGGAGTAGCCATTGAAATTGCAGAATTTTTAGAATTCAAAGGTGGCATGGTACAAAAGTGCGCAGAGGAAATAAAAAAATTGTGGAATCTTTTTATTAAGGTGAGTTAAATTTCATCTATTTTTACTATTATTATAGCCATGGTGTTTACCTCTGAATAAATCTTGGCAAATAAAATTATATTTTAATATTTTTTAGAATAAAGGAGAATCTAAATAAAAACTACTAAATTATAAAAAAAATAACATTCTTCAAAACTTTTGTTTTAAGGTTGATGCTACGCAACTTGAAATTAACCCTTTGGTTGAGACAGATGATGGTCGTGTTGTTGCGGTGGATGCCAAAATTAATTTTGATGACAATGCAGAATTCAGACAAAAGGAGATATTTGCTTTGGACGATGTGACTGGTGTAGATCCTAGAGAAGTAAGCTTAACTTGTAAATTATTAAGCCAGCTATAAACTTTCAGTTTTGACTACACAGTTTTAACTAAACACTTGTACTGTTCAGTTAAATCATATGTGTATAGACAAAACTGAGAACCGTATAGTTTAACTGGTTGGATGTGTAATGGACTTTAATCATTTACTTTGTTGACAACTTACTGTTTTCCGCGACTCAGTCCGTTCAGTATTAAAAAAACTAGTAGCCAATGTGTTCCTCCAAACTATGGTTTACCTCTATATCAAATTTCAGCAAGATCCATCCATCCATCAAAACATACACTTTTTATAATTTTAGTTAGATGTAAATTACATCATACTGTCTTGTTTTGCTACAAGAGGTGAGGTTATTCACAACAACAGATATCTTATCAGTAAAAACTAATAGTATATTTGTATATAATTCAAGGATATAAATGTTGCAATGAATGTTTTGATATTTATTGTTTGAGCAAATTCTTTTCTACTTATATCAAATAAACTTCTAAAAAACAATATTTAATTGATATAGCCAAAACTAGGGAGTAGAGGGTGAAAGTTTGTACAGACAAGAGTTATTCCTTCAGCAGGATTACAACAATTTTCAAAACAAATATTTAACTTAATATTTCAGACTTTTTCAAATGTATTTTGTTAAATTCTAAATTGAGGCTTTTCAAATTACCCGCAGACAAAGTTCAAGAAATAGTTGGAAATGTTATGTAGAATAAAAAAAAACTAAATAACACATGATCATGTCTAAGAATCTGAATCATTAATTAAAATAGATAACAAATCAAATAGTGTTTCCTTGATTACTTTAGAGGGAAGCAGCATCATTGAATTTGACCTACATCGACATGGATGGTAGCATTGGATGCATGGTCAATGGTGCTGGACTTGCAATGGCGACGATGGACCTGATCATGTTGAGCGGAGGAAGGCCAGCAAACTTTTTAGACCTTGGCGGAGGAGTAGGACAAGCCCAGGTGTCAGCAGCTTTGAGAATTTTAGAGTCTGACCCTAAAGTAAAGGCAATATTTGTTAATGTATTTGCGGGTAAGTAATCTGATTATATTTATAATATGCATCAGGGAACACTCAAAGAAGTATACATAGGTCATATATTGTTTAAATTAAACATAGAATACTTTAAGTTCACATTCCCTTTCTATTTTATTACAAGGAAAAAATGGGAACTGGGAGTAGTTTTGACGGAAGAGGGGAGTCATAGGCAAAAGGAAATATCTTGTACCTATGGACAAAGATCACTTTGATATTTTGGTACATTAAAGGGGATGTTTGCTTGTTTGACAACTTATAAACAAAAAAATACATGACACACGAATAAAAAAAAAAAACTTTTTTAATCTGATAATGGTTCAAATTTTTGATCCTGTGATTTCCAACCTGTGACAAAAGCATATTACAGGACAAAAATATCATACAATTTTTATT